ACACAGAAAGTGACTTTGGATTTCTGGTTTCTTGTGCTGCCGGGAGTTTTGTTTCCAGATTATATACTTGTGACTTTCTTTCCGAAGTTTTCAAATTGCTTGAGGTAGAGTCAGAAGTGAGATTCAGGACTCAGAGCTATTCGGAAGATTATTTCTGGTTTTTTTAATCTTGTTAAGGATCGATTCCTAAAATTTAAACTTAGATCTAAAATTTAAACTTTTTAGTCTTGAAATTATTAAGTCTTCCCACATTTGAGGCAAAACACAGACCGAACTCCACTTTGATTGCAAAGTCAAGGCCTCTCATGTGACTGCGACATAGCCTACAAATGAGATGCGGGAGGTGTGGATGTGGTGTCTAAATTGTTCGTAGTATGTCTGCTTGATGCTGATGAAAATTCTACTTTTTTCTTATCAATCTTAGATATTTGCTGTTGGATACAAACAATATCCAAGAGACGACGAAAGGCATAAGGGCGTTATTGACTTTGTTTTCTGGCACTGGGCTCAGCTGCAGTACAACAACCCCTATGTGCAGCTTGTACGGCACACCAACATCAGCATTCTACCATTTGGCAAAGCATTCTTAGGTTAGACTATTTACGGATTTAATTTTTTGTCAGTCGAGGTGTTTTGCGTACTTCATGCTCTTGTCTGCGCGTTGCCTCCTCGTAATTTCTGAACTGGCATAACTGTCAAGTCGATCAAGTGGAAACCTAGGGCATGCTTGCAGCTTCAAAGTATTTACATCCTGATATTTTTCGTTACTACCAGTTTGCTTTAACTCGTGCATTTTTAATTCCATGACTGATTTTCGCTTTTTGATGCTAAGGACACTAACGCTGATGTGTCGGTCCTTCATCTACTTACGTAGATCATTTTTTTTTTGGTGCCTGATAATTTGAAAAAGGCAGAAGCTAAAATATGGGTCATTTTGTAGTTATTAGTCGGAAGGAATTCACAGCATGTGACAATCCGGCACAATACGGGGGTTACTCTCGTGTATAATGTACGAACAGTTTCTCTTCAGAAATTAGGCTTGCGCTTTTTTCTGTAGCTTTTGAATTATACGATATTTTAGACGATGGCCGCGAAGTGCTTTTCGACTTGGAAGGTAAAAGCCGGAAGGAAATTGAAGAAATGCTACAAACAACGTTAGGGAAAACGAAGACTTTACTGAAGCGGGAACGCCTAGAAAAAATGTTGCGGACAGATCAAGCTTTGTTCGGTAAAAAATGTAAAAGGGAATGCATATGCGAGGTGCAGGGCCAGCATCCTTGTACATCGCTGCTTTATGCTCCTGATTATATGAAAGGAGACTGGAGGTGGAATCGTAACGGCTAACTAATCAAATTTTTTTTGACTCAGATGAACGTTTGTTATTTTTTGATTCTTGCGAGTGAGTGATTTAGCGTCGGCGACAGCAGTGAGGGAACCAGTTCAGCTTAACGATGTGCAGCTGGCGGTGAGACTGTAGTAAGGCTGTGGATCAGTGTGGTGTATTATTTCTCTTCTTGAAAAATCAACTTTTGTTTATGGTGATAGCACTGTTAGTTTATTTTTTGTTAAGATTCACTTTCAGATCATTTGAAAAATAGTTTTGTAATATTGGTTCTTAGTGTTATGACTTTGAAGTATATTTTAATTTTCGAATTATAACGTTGGTGTCGTACAGGCTTAGGCAGTGCAGCACTTGACTGTTTCCACTGGGGTATAACTTCGTCCACCCTACAAAAATTTTGTGAATTTGACATGTTTTGAATTTGTCTGACTGTATTTGATACTTCTGTAAGCAACAACAGCTTTATGTGCATGTGATTACAGTTCATGTGTCAGTTCTGAACACAAAAAATTCAAAAATCCTTGACTATAGCACACCATCTGTGCTGAAAGGACCTCGTAGTTTCTAATTCGTTCACAGCTACAGTTCTGCCAGTAGTTAAATATCGTACCGTCAGAAAACTTTACTTATCATACAGTTGTCACAATGAACTAGCGTTAGCTGACAGAGTCTGACTGACTTGTGCTTTTTGCAGAATTATAATGGGTTGCCTTTGTCTGAGTACGATTTCTTAAGTTGTTAGATTTTGGCCATCACGGTTTCCTTCCTACGCATTCTCTTATTGATCAGTTGTTTAACAGTATCTGCCATTGTTATGAAATTTGTCAAGCCACAAGAAGAACTGACTGCGTTTTTCTGGATTTTGAAAAAGTTTTTCTTTTTCCATGTCAGTAATTTATTGTGGTGAAGAAAGACGCATACTTCCCAAACTTCTTGTACCAATATCTGACTTTCTCAAAAGCTAAATCTTTTTTGAGTTTGAGTTCAGATTGCTTCTGGATTTTTTTGCCGGATTTAAACAACCAAAATTTATAAACTTCTCATCTGTCTCATTATGCAGTTCCAATATTAGCGTGGACTTCTGTCAGGACACGTTAAGTACTGAAAACTGCTCCGGCCATCCATCGTCTCCAATAAATCGGGAAGTGAGCCTGAGCAATTCCAGGTTGCGCGTTGTCTACTATTGGAATCGTAGCAGTAGGTCCCAGGCCGGGACATAACAAAACTTAGTGTTTGATTTTTGCTACGAGCCAACCCTTGAAAATCTGAGTTCGTGGTTTCGTCCGTTCTCGACTTAATATCAGGCTGAAACATAGAACTAAGTGCTAGCCTGTAGTCCTTTGAAGAGTTTTGGGAAGTTCTGTTGCTAAAAAGTGAACATTCTAATTTTTCAGTTTCTAAAATATAAGCACAATTTCGCTGAAGTGTTTAACGCAACGACACATAAAAATGTTCCTTCCGTCCATATGTCAGTCGACTTGGGATACGCATATTTTGCGTTACGTTATCGCAGTTTTCAAAATGCTGTTTTGCAACCACTTACATTTCTTGTTTTGTTACAGTCAACTGTTCTTTTTATGCGTTTTTTGCATCTATGCAATGCAGAAAACGCATATTGACGAGAGGTTGT